AACGAGCGATTTCTTCAATTAGAATCATCATGTAAGTGTCAATTTCATTCGAAGGACTGCATAATATGCAGTAGATAATTATCTGTCAAAATCAGCATTCATCAATTCAGCGAAACCATTAGTAAATAGAAATTATGAATTCAGCAAAACAAAATGCAAATTAGCTTCTTGAAAAAATTAAATTTCAAATGATGTTAGTGACGCTTTTAAGTTGCTACCTGGTAACGTAGCGCATAAAGACGTTCCGAACGTTTCGTGAAGCCAGTTGTGAAGATACGTCCATCCTGAAGGAATATGGCACGTTGTGGTTTAACACCTTCGTGACCTTGACCTTGGAAGAGAACCTCACCCGAGTGCGAATCAATCACTCGAAGACGTTTGTCTTTACATGTCGTCACGAAACGACTTCCTGAATTTTATTCTATGAAAATATGTTGTTTACTTGGTCGAGCCTTCATTTCCTTATAAGTTCACAAGAATTGAATATCATTCATTCTCGTGTCCAGCCTTAAACGGAACTCTTTCTTAAGATCAGGGCCTCATCAATCGGAAAGAAACTTCAACCACTCAGCATGAAATCACTTGGTGCTCGAAGTCATTTGACTTTCAGAAGTTGAGCTCTTCGTAAAAGCGAGAAATCGAAGTAATTAGTCATGAAAACCTTTCACTATTCATTTCATAGATTATAAAAGCGTGGAGATTGCGAGAGTTCATGAAATTCCTCAAAGGCATGTGCTATGCAAAATCCAGTCAATAGTTTCATTTTCACTTATAATTAGTCTTTTCACGATACAATCACACCAAATCATTAAAATGATCAAAGCTTGCTTAATTAAACAATAATACATTATCACAATATCATCATTATTTTCTTTTTTGGGATCAACATCATTCATGTGCAAAGTTCACGTCGAATGAAACCAAGGCAACCTTTCTAATTTCTTTGAAATATTACAGTCATCATGTATTATCGCTATTTATCACAAACGTCTTCGATGAGAATGAAAGGAAAAAGTGAAAAAAAATTGCCAAAATATAGAGAAATTATTCACTGGCAAAGACGAACTAAAACAACTAACCGTCATAATTGAACGAAATTGACCAAATTTGATCTGGATGACCAGAAATCTCCAGCAATGCCTCGCCAGTACCGACATTCCACATAAGCAACTTGTTTTCACCACCTTAATTCAGTTCGAATGCACTTGAATGTATGCAGTATAGAATATTATCAAATATTGCAAAGTTATATCCGAATCCAAATCAGTGATATATCCAAATATCCATACCCATACAATATGCAACTACCCAAAAATCATGTATGGGTATGGATATCCACTGTATCCGAATGATGAAAGATGCCCACTGAGCGAGATTGATAGAAAAGTTGTAATTAACACACCTGCTGTAATTAGGATGTTATTGGCTGTCGGATGCCATGCGAGAGTATTAACGCGTTTCTGATGTCCGTCCAGCTCAACAACTGGCTCTGATAAGGTACGTATCAATCCATTTGGAGGGATTAACCAAACCTTCAATGAATAATTTTCCATTTCTTACTGTTGGATTTGTCAGCAATCTTTAGATAAAATAATGCGCACTTTATTTACTGAAATATATAATGACTAAAAAGATTCTCACCTAATACGTTATCCTCCTTAAATTGACCATTTCAACTATCACTAATCAGTCGTTTTGAATAGTTTATGTGTATTTTATAAATTTCGTATAAATTTTAAACTGTACATCAAACGCACCCACTATAATGAAATAATGAATGAATATAAACAAGTAATGATTACTGTACTTTGGCTGTAGCATCCTCAGAACAACTTGCAATAACGTTATCATTGAACGGATTCCAGACCACTTCTAAGCAAGGTGCCCGATGCGCATCAACATACGGATGATCCTTATCAATACGACCCGTCTGCAAACTTGACACTGTTAAAGCTTTTTCCCAATTATCCGAGGATTTTTATTTCCACTTTGCATGTTTACATGCTCAAGGTGTTGAATGTATCAAACGAGTATTTCTGGATTTGATGATAACCTTTCAAAATCATTGCATGATCTATTTATCGACTTTGTAACGTTATTTATTTCTGTCGACTTTGACTTTAATTTCCATGATAAATTTATTCGTTAATTTATTCATTTTCAACTTCGGATTTGAGTCATCTTTTTTTTTTTAAACTTTTACACTGATAAACTCACGACTTCACCATAGAGTGATCATAAATAGTTCATGTCGAATCAGTTTCACATCTCACTTATACAGTGAATTATTAGTGCATGGAAGATTTCTTCAATTCTTATTTGGTGATCATTTCAATGCATAAATTTTTCATCAACAATTTTCTTTTTCTCATC